CCTCGTGTGTCTGCAAGGACATGGCTCCCGGAATCCTTGCTCTGCCCGGATGTCCTGCTTTTCCATTTTAGTTCCCAGCCAGAGCGGATACACTTGCCCGGCCCACAGCTTCTCGCCTCCTTTCAGACCTGCCGGGGATGGCCCGCGTCGTGCGCTGCGGAGACTCATGAGATTTGGATGCATTGGCTTCTGTCTTCTTTGTTATCTCAGGACCACAGTTGACCTGTTACATTGCACGTGGGTCAGGTTGCCGTGAGACGCTGCCAGTTGCCTCTTATCTAAGAGGGTCAGGATGGTTCGTTTATTTGGGGAGACAGTTAAGACATCAGCTGTGCAGGAGGCTTCCTGATCAGAAGTGTGGCTGGGAACCGGTAAATATACAACGTAGGAAGCTCTCACTGGCCAGTGGAGGTGGCACGGGGCCCGTACCTTTCCCTCAGCTGGTAACTCTGTACTCTTGCTTTACACAGGATGTTAATGAGCTTGGTGAGTTTTAACTCCTTTCTGATCAGAAGTTGCTGCCCCAGAGAGACATACTGACTCAGAAGCGCTGGTTGCTGGTCCTTGTGAGAAGCGATGTATTGAGATGGGAGGAGGGAAGCAAGAACTCATGGGTGGAGCTTCTGCCCTGCTGTGTCTGGGGACAGCCTGCCATATGTATCTGGAAGTTGAAGCGTCGCTGGAGTCCAGAAGGGTGATCTGGACGGAGTTAAGGTTTGGTCTCAGTCCGTTCTGCTTCAGAAGGCAGGGAGATGAGTGGTATTGCCACTGTGGTCAGGTATCACGCCGTTTTGGGTGACATTGCTCCCCAAGGATGACAGGGCTTCCTGCAGCTGTTTGATCTTTCAGACTTTGTGACCCCAGTGTAGCCCAGCCCCTGGAATAGTGGCTGGCATTTGCTGAGGTCAGTATTTGTTGAAGGAATGAGTGGATTCATCACAAGGAGATATCAAGGCAGCGAGGCGACAAGGAGTAGCCTCCAGTCTCGTCACGTTAATGGATCTCCCATTGTAACCATTAGACAGCATTTCACATAATAGCCACAAAATCGTGTTAGGGAAATGGGCTTGGAAGTGCAGCAGGTTCCAGTTCCTGGAATAGTTAATTTGAAAAGATCGTAATGAGTGCATTCTCCTATTTAGGCCTGCTGCAGGTGAAGTATCAGTCTGTTGTCCACATTTTAGCATGGTCTATCCAGACGATGTGTTGCTTGGCCCCAAACCACCCACACACACCCACCCCCTCCCCCCCCCCCCCCGACCCCCCCCCCCCCCCCACCCCGCCCTCACCCCACCCCCACCCCCCCCCAGCCTGCAGAGCCGGCCTTCATGGAGTGCCTGCTGTGTGCCAGCCAGGGATGTGCTTTGGGGATGGAGGGAAGGGGAGAGGAACACAGCTGGTCCCTGCCCTCAGCCTGAAGTCCGATTAAGACAGGAACAAAGGCGACCGCGGTGCAGGGTGAGAAGTGTGTGTGTAATAAAGACGCGCGCTTGCTTATGGGAGCACAGGAGGGGGCACTTACTGCCGTGGGTCGGGGGTCGGGGGAGGGGTGGGGTCGTGAAGGAGGGGCTGTTTGGGCAAAGCCTGAGATGACAGTCTGTGGGCTTCTGGGGGCTGCCCCAGGTGGCGTGTCCTGGCTGGCAGGACGGGGGAGTTCCCTGGAGCCTTCTCGGTTTTGCCTGGACACTTTGTGGGCTGGGAGGAGAAATAGATGGCAGTGGGTTCAGGGGCTGTGGCCTGGACCCTCTTGTCTTTGTCTGACCTTTCACTCCCTGGGACCTCTGTTTTGAGGACCCCTCTATCCCAGCCCTCATAATCTCACCAGATTCTTTTTAGAGCTGGAAAGGGCCATCGGGAATTCTCTCTTCCAGAGGTAGAGACCTAGAGCGTAAGGGGCTGGGGGAGGTGGGTGGGGGGAAGTGTTTACAGGTGAGTCAGTAAACATGGTATTTCCTGTCCACCAGCCCCTCTGTGTCTGCCATGTCCCAGTCCAGTGAGCGAGGGTCTGCTGATAGAGGAGCCAGTCTGGCATGGCAGAAAGGACCAGCCAACCCTAGAAGGGTTCTTTTCCCAACCTCCCCCTTGAGCTCTTTCTAAATAAGAGCCGTTTTAGAAAGACATCAGAAACGTAAGATTTGGAATGATCTAGAGAGAAGCTTGGGCCAGCTGCCCTTATTTTCCACGTGTGGAAATGTGTTTTTTCAGTTCATCCTCCGTGAGTGTTAAAATGACATCCCTGGATGGTAAGTCCTGAACCAAAATAGAGAGATCCAGGTGGGGAGCAGGTGGGATTTGGGGTCTGCTGAGTTTGAGCGACCCAGTCCATTCAGGGCACCGTGCCTGGTTTGTAGCTGCAGAAGTCCAGGATGGGCGTATGGATTTGGGGAAATTATGAATTGCTTAATGGTCACAGTTAATGCATGTGGGACTACTCTTGCTTCCTGCCAGCCCAGTTCTGTCTGCCACATCGTGCTGCTAAAGCTGTATGCTAACTAGTTCTGTCCCCCCAGGAAACCCACTAATGAGGCACTGGCCCCGTGGTGATAGGTGTTGGGTAGGCTAGAAGTGCCGGGTAGTAAGAGGAGCGAGTACATCGGAGGAAGAGCGCCGGAATGGTGATTTTGTGTGTTTTTAATTGTGTTTGTTGTCTAACGACTGCCAAAAGATCTGTGTTAAAGAACACTCGGGAAGAAAACCATCCATGGTTTCTCCATCCCAACACAGGGCTTTTAGTTTTCGCAAACCATTTTTATCAAGCAAACCATACAGCGCAGACAGATTGCTGTGTAGTTGGAATCGCAGCTTCTTACTCCTTTGTGGTCTGTTTATTTAACGTCGACATAAGAATCTTCCTGATTCCTGTCTCATCCTTATAATTATCTGTCCTAACAGCCCAGCAGTATTCCCGACTGTTGATGGGCCCAGCTCTGTGTCCCTGTGGTTGGAGTTTGGGTTGTTTCTTCTTCGTGCCCCAGACCCAGCTTTATTTCTCCAGTAGATAATGCTCCAGAGAATATCTCTGCGCCTGGAGCCTTCTGCTCCTATTGAACTGTTGCCTTTAAGGAGTGTTTCCAGGAAGGAAGGAGTCTGAAAGTTAAAATCCAGTGCCATATTTTTGAGTTGTTTTTTTTTTTTGCTTTTTGTGAGTGCTGTTTTATATAACACAAATGCAGACATACACATAAAACAAAGGTTCAGTTTCACAAACTTCAGGAAGGCAGACACCCTTGTACCACCCCCCACGTCAGGAGCTGGGACCCTGCCAGCCAGCGGGAGGTCCACTGTGGGCTCTCTCCCTGGCACATCCCCTCTGGGCCCCTGAGAGCAACAACTCCCCTGACTTCGTTGTAACCACTTCTTGATCCTCTCTTCAAGTCTTCTCACCCAATGTGCGTCCCTACACATTGCAGTTTCGTTTTGCTTTTTTTTTTTTTATAAAGGTGACTTTTAGATCTTTTGTAACTTCTAGGTGCCCCTCCATCCCTTTACTTCTGTCTCTTCTGTTTGTTGAAGAAGCTATGTTGTCGTCCTGAGGAGTTTCTAGAATTTCCCACAGGCTGGATCTTGCTCATTGCGGCCCCATTACAGTTTAGAACATTCCTCTGCATTTCCTGCAGTTGGCTGTTGGATCTACTGGTTGAATCAGCCCCAGACTTGTTCTGTTGTTGTTGGGTTTTTTTTTTCCTGTGGGGAGAAAGATTACATCTTGGGGGGGTGCTCTTCATCAGGAGGTACTCGATGGCTGGTTGTCTTCTGTCGCGATGTTAGTAGCCGCCGGGTTTCAGTGCTTAGCACCTAACATTCATTAGAAGTTGCAAAACTGGGATACTGCAATTCAGTGATTCCTTCTTCATTTTGTTGTTGCTGTACTACTATAAAGAGAAATTCTGCCCATCTGCTATTTTTAATACCTTTATTGAGGTGGACATACCATATAACTCACCTATCGGAGGTGTATAATTCGGTGGCTTTTAGTATATTCATAGAGTTGTGCATCTGTCCCACGCCCAATGTGGGGCTCGACCTCATGACCCTGAGATCAAGAGTCACATGCTCTGCTGACTGAGCCAGCCAGGCACCTCTGGTTTTATTGGGGTTTTTTGTTGCTTGTGCTTGTGGTGTTTTATCTAAGAAGTCATTGCTTAATCCAAGGTCATGAAGACTTGTGCTTCCGTTTTGAGAATTTTATAGTTTTAGCTCTTGCGTTTAGGTCTTTGACCCGTTTTGATTTAATTTTTGTATATCCCATCATTTACTCTTTGGTTACCCAGTGCTACAGCCAACTGGCCAGATCAGTGCCTGATCTCTTCCCTTTATTTACCAGTTTTCATAATAAGGCATTAGTTCCTTATTCATCCTATGAAGTTGTTCTTTGGTGTTTTGTTTTGTTTTCATTATGAGTAATTAGATTTAATAATGAGTTTTTATTATAATACAAATAATTAAATTGTTTAAAAATATTTTATTTATTTGAGAGAGAGAGTGAACAAGACAGCAAGCAAGAGAGAGAGAGAGAGCATGAGCAGGGGGGAGGGGCAGAGGGAGAAGCAGACTTCCCGCTGAGCAGGGAGCCCGATGCAGGGCCTCGATCCCAGGACCCTGGGATCATGACCTGAGCTGAAGGCAGATGCTTCCCTGACTGAGCCACCCAGATGCCCCCATATACTGTGGCATATACATGTATACAATATAGAGACAAAAGTGGTTTTGGTTTTGTTTCTTTTTAAAACGTTTTGTTCTTTTTTTTTTTTTTTTAAAGATTTTATTTATTTGAGAGAGAGAGAATGAGAGAGAGCACATGAGAGGGGTTAGGGTCAGAGGGAGAAGCAGACTCCCTGCCGAACAGGGAGCCCGATGCGGGACTCCATCCAGGGACTCCAGGATCATGACCTGAGCCAAAGGCAGTCACTTAACCAACTGAGCCACCCAGGTGCCCTAAAACGTTTTGTTCTTATCCAGTGGTCACATCCTCAGTTTTCATCTACCCAATTGTCTTCCAGAAACATGCCAAAGGCCAGGATCTGTTTGATCAGATCGTGTACCACTTGGACCTCGTGGAAACAGATTACTTCGGCCTCCAGTTCCTCGACTCTTCCCAGGTTGCTGTGAGTACTCCTTTGACACGTTTTGGGACAGTTTGATTTTTCATGCTAATTGCAGATCCACAATTGCTGGAGATTGGTAGAGGGAAAATAGGAATTAAACGGTGATGTTGTTGCAGTAGCAAGCGTTGGGGTGGCGGTGATGGTGCCCATGTGACATTCATCCACATGTCCCCTCCCTTGAGGTGGCCAATAACCGGGAGAGGAAGAGAGAAAGAAGCGTTCCTGTTGTGCAAGGGAATGCATTCGGGAAACATTTCTAAGCATAGGGATGCAACTTGGGCACATTTCTAGAGTAGGTAGAAAGCAGAAGATATACCAGTCTAGAAATGCTTTAAATGATGCTTTATTTTTAACCGGCACAGGGACTGCAGCATCATCTTCTTGTGGACTCTTGCTGGGTGGAGAGAGCGGGTGCTGTGAACACACTGAATGTGATCCCAGCCAGGCTTAGTGGGTGCACTAAGTGCACTAAGCCACTTAGTGGCTGCTCCGGTCGGAGCAGGTCTTGGCACTGCCTGAGAACCATCTTGCAGGCTCCAGGAGGTTGTGTTAGGTCAGCTGGGCCTGGGACAGAACTGTCCACAGCGGGGTTGCTAGAGGGAGTGAACCTGACGTAGCTCAGAGCCACTCTTTTCAAAAGCACGAATGACTTCACAGTCTCCTTCCCCAACAAAATCTAACTCTGGGTTTCAAAGTAATTTATTCAACAATCAAAAATATTTTTTGAGGTGGGTGGGGGGATGGGTGAAATAAAGGGGATTAAGAGTATATGTATCTTGGTGAGCACTGAGAAATGTATAGAATTGTTGAATCATTATATGGTCTGCCCGAAACTATTACAACATGCCTTGTATGTTCATTATAATTGAGTAAAAAAAAAAATATTTATTGAGCATCAGTTATGCACTGGGTCCCTTTTAAGCACTGTAGATAAAGCATTGAACACATATATGACAGATGGTGGTAAGTATTAAGAATAAAGCAGAGTAAGGGGAGAGACAGACTGAGTAAGGGGTGGTGCTATTTTAGATTGTATGAAAGGGTGAGTTCCCTGATAGGAGATGTTTGAGCATCCGTGGCTAGTCTTTCTCCCTAAAGACACTTCTTCACATACTCCCTGGGGGGTCACAGGTGCCAGTTCAGGCTAAGATGCTCAAAATCGGTGCCTAGAAATTGGGTCCACCTGAGAACGTCTGTGTCACGCTGAGTCCAAGATGATGCCGTGGAGTCAGGACTTCCGTGCATCCCTCTGGCTGCAGGCCTCCTAGGCGGACACCCCCTCTGCTCCCACCAGAAGCCCCTCTGCACTTCAGGACTTCCTGTCCACCATCCCCTTACCTCCCTGACTGTTGCCACGAACTCTCCAGCCGCTGCCTTGAGTTAGTGGTCGGATTCCTTCCCCATTTCCCAGCTGGAGACTCGTTCCCCGCCCGCCAGGACCCAGGACAGGGGTGACCAGCTTTCCTCTGCCTGCCCCCCTGTCCCGTTCTGCTGTCGTCCAGGTTGGGCCACCTGGTGCCCTGCCTTCTGACCTCGCAGGTGGTCTCAGCCTTTCTTTTCCCCTGGGCAGCCTGGGAATTCAAGTTGCCCATCCTTCTAAATACCCTGGACACTGTTCCCTCGCATTGAAACTTGGGCAAACCTCGGACACATTCACTTGGGTCCCGTCACCACCCGATCGCTCCAAGAGCTGGAATTCTGTTGTTCCCGTCCCATGATAACTTCCCTTGGTTCCATCTTTCCAGTCCCCCTGCACATGGCCTTGGACCTTAACCGTTGCCTCCTGCCTCATTCTCCCCTCTCGCGGCCTGGCGGAGCCTCAGCCCTCTTGCCTGTGTGCTTTTTGATGCTCCTGCCCCCGTGACTGTCCCCTTGCCTCCCCTCAACACGCAGGCCCATCTGTTCTCCCAGGCTGGCAGGCTGTGCCTTTTGACCCCCGCACAGGTCACAGCTCACAGATACAGCAAAGTCCAAGCCCCTGGGCTACTCTTGGAGCCTTGTTAGCCCCTTTGGGACTCGGTTCCCCTTCGGAATCCTGACCACAGCCCTGCAGTCCAGTTCTTGCAACAACTCTGTTCGTGCACTTGGCCTTACCTCCTGCTGAGAAGACTGAGGTCATTTAGCTAAAACCCTTTGAGTTTTCTTACCCTGCACCTCAAAGTTTCTCTTTCTGTCTATCCTTTTCACCGTCTGGTTTTAAGGAAATGTGCATGTTTCTCCAGCATTTACCCCCTAGACCTGCATCACAGTTCCATTTCCAGTTGCTTTCTGAGTGCCAGATTTAGAGTGCTCCTGTCTGTGTCCAGTATCCTCCAGCTGTCCCATCATCTGACACTCGTCAGCCCTCCGCTTCCCAGAAACGCTTCTCCGTTCTGCCTTCTATGTGTCCTCAAGCATGTGGTATTTGGGGCTTTAGAATGTCTACAGCCCTGGACCGTGAGTCTGACCTGGACCTTGTTCCTGGCGCTGCCCCTGACTTACCTGGGGGCTTTCGATGAGCCACCTTTTCTCCCTTGTCCTCAGTTTTCTCATCTGTAAAATGGGGCTCTCAGACCTGTTCCTAAGAGCTCTTCCAGTTCTCATGTTCTGGAGGGGAATCAGGTGTGTCTGCCCCACATGGCTTCTCGTGTCATTGTTTCGGCTATTAGAATCATGTGCCTGCTGCCTTGGTGCCATGTCCTCATCCCCAGGTGACCCCTCTCCAGCCACTCGGATTCCCAGAAAGCCAAAGATGGGACTCCATTATGAAAGACCCGGCCATGCACCTCCGCTCCCTGGGTGGCCAGGCGTTCCCGTCGGCCAGCACCCTGGCACACGCTCGGCAGAATCCACGTGTCCTTCCAAGGCCAGACACCTGCAGACACTCAGACTCTACCGGCTCTCACATCTTTCCAGCTTCCAGCTCTGAGCGCGATGTGCTTTTCCTCCCCAACAAAGCAGGTGCAGGGTCCTCATCTACCTGACTTGGAGGATGGGGATGTGCGGGCGCATGCACATGCACGTGTGTGGCTGAAATGCTACCGTGTGTACAACAGGGATGTGCAGCAGAGCCCTTCTCATTAGTCTTGATTTCTAGGCTGGGCTCATGGCAGGCTGCATTCTGGTGAGATCTGCACTTATCTGTATGCCTGTGTTTCTGGGTTCCCCTCCTAGCATGCCCTTTCTCACCCCGTTTAAACTTCTGGCTGTCCTTCAAGACCATCTCGGAAGACAGCTCTTCCTTCATGCAGCATGTCCTGAACTTCCCGGGCTTCTCCTGCCCCCCTGGCCTTTGAGCTGCTTTGCCTTCTGTGGCAGTTTGCTCATCTGGCCTTGGGTTCATTATCTGTGTATATAAACAGACCTTTCTGATTAGATCCTGAGACTTTGGATTGCTTCTTCTTGGTGACTCTTATTGACAAGGCATACCCCCTAAAACCTCAGTCTTCAGCCCCAGAAGGGACCTTAAAAGCCATTTGTCAAATGTTTCTCTTGATGGTGAAATGAAAGCCTTTTGACTTTGGCAGGGCCCCAGTGAGTAGCACAGCTCAGACTCAAACCCAGGTCTTAGGACCTCAGGGCTAAGTGCTCTTTTCAGTATGCTACCCCTGCGAGCCTGTTTTCCTAACTGTAAAGTAGAGGCAGTGACATCCATATCACAGGGAAATAGAGGGGTTCAGTGAGTTAATGGAGGAGAAAGGGTTTTGTAATCTAACATGGGTGTGGGTCTCCTCTTCCTAACTGGGCAAGCTGAGGGGGGACCAGAAGTCATCACAGCTCCCAGAGGTGACGCACTTAGGCTAGCTGGAACCTGCAAGGCTGCCTTGCCTGTGGGAGAAACGTTAGCGATTTAGGTGATCCCTTTGGGACTGTTCCCTGAGTCGTGATTTTTCCGGGCGCCTGGAACAAACGAAGCAATTGATGGCAGGTGTAATAGATGGGGGCCAGAAAGGGAAGGGTCCGCTTGGCCTTTGGCTTATTGCCATGTGAGGCTCCTGCGAGAAATGACATCCCCACCCTGCCCCTGCATGCAAATCGGAGGGCTGGCAGTGGCGGGGCTCTTGGCACAGCCCTCTGCATACCCAGCTTCTGTCCCCAGCTCCCTGCAAAGAGCCAAGCCTGGTTTCCATAGTGCGCTGCCCAGCCCTGAAGCAAGGTCAAAGTCTATTGGCATTGCCTATTTTTAGCAGTTGAGGCTGGGGCCTCCCTGTTTCCCTTTTCCATATCAAGGCAGGCCGCAGCCTATTCTGTAGATCTCACCTTTGCCCAGCTCAAAGCAGGGGCAGGAGTTCTGTTTTTATAGAGGAGAGCTTTCTTCTGAGAAAGGAGGCTCTGGCCTACACCCACCCAGCTTTCTTACAGACTGATCAGATAGCTGCTGTTTCCTGAGTTCCCACTCTGATGAGCTCTGAGCCGGGTGTCAACCTAAAGACTGTACACAACTCTTTATTTAACCTTCATCATCTGGAAGACTAGCCATGGAGCAGACCCGTTTTACAGATGATGAAGCTGAGGCTCACTAGGAACCTTGGGAAGGTCAAAGTGAGGGACGGAGGCAGGATGCAGAATCTGGTTTCATTGCAAAGGCCAGCCCTTTCCACTGGGCTCTCCCCGTTCCATTACACATGGTAGCATCTCAGCCACACACGTGCATGTGCATGAGCCCGCACAACGAACATGTTTAGGCAGTAGCCATTCAGCGGACTTTGCCTTGGAGCTTCCTCACTGTCAGTCTCTGTGGTGCAGGTTCCTGCCTGGGGAGACAGACTATCCCAGTGGAATGGGGAGGGGGGGGCGGCATGTCTTCACTCTGGGAGCCTGGGGCAGGACTGCCTGAGTATCAGTGAGGAGCTGAGGGAGGCATCAGAGGGAAGAGGAGTGGTGGGGATTTGGGGCAGGGGTAATAACAGCCCCACCAAGCAGGAGCCTCCCTCCGGGTCCTGGGGGCAGGGGTTCTGGAGGGCAGGTGTGGCCATTGAAAGTCCCTTCCAGGGGGGCCCCTCCCAGCAGGAAAAGGGAGC